AAGTAGAGGTACCACTGTATCATGAAAACACATGTGCACACCAGCATAAGAAATAGCAATATCCAGCACATTATGAAAGAAATGTAAAATAATAATAATAATTTTTTAATAGTTGTGTTTCTTGATTAGGGCCCTGGGTAGGGAACATCTTAAGCCACAATGTCTTTACATTCATCTCATAATATCCATGGTGCAGTGAGTGTTCTTTTAGTTTCAATGCTAAATGTACACGAAAGAGCTGTCTAGGATACTTCACTGATATGTTTAATCTTATAGCCCCACAAACAGATACAGAAGGGAGGCAGAGCTCAGGAACAAGAACAAGCTGCTGGAGTCTGTTAAATGTGAACTGAGCATAAAGTTGGCAGGAATCCAGGTAGGGAGGAAAACATGGGTCTTATTACATCTGCTGTGTGTGGCATACTGTGCTTTCAGAGATCTGCAGCTTTGATGGATGCCTTGAAAAGAGAAGCTTGTCTTTATTCTCCAGATGCTGCTCTGATTAAACAGAATATAACCAAAAAGCACAGGATTTATGCCAAGAGTACAAGCAGCAGCGTGTAGTAGCATAGTGGTGGGAAAGTGTAAGCATGCAGGGCCATTTTGCCACCCCCAGAGCCCCCTATTGTCAATTTTTGGGAGGAAATAAATTTACCCCAAAATGCCCCCCCTCCAACAGGAAATAAAGAAGACTAGTTTTTAGGTCACTTCAGCACCATCTGCACCCCAGAATTAATCATGTTTGATACCACTTTGCTTTGACTCAATGCTATGGAATTCTGGGAGCCCTGGTGCCACAACAAACTACAGTTGCCAGAGTTCTATAGCATTGAGCCATGACAGTTAAAGTGGTATCAAACCAGATTGTTTCCACAGTGCAGATGCAACCTTCCAGTAGTGTAGTGGTGTGTGTTTGTTTAAAAGAAGCCTTTCCCAGGACTAAAGTGGCCAGGGGTATGTGTGGCAAAAATCTCCCACACCCCTAAGTAAAGGGCATTTGGCAGGGGGAAACACATATAAGGAGTGGCACAGTGGGAGGTGTGACCCTCCAAGGTCTCCTGTGCAACCCCTTGGCCTCTGATAGCTGCTCACACTTGCAATAGATGTATCAAGAGTACACTGTCCTATCCACATCTCATCTCTGTGAGCAGCATTTGTGCAGAGCTTCCCAGTGTATCACACTGGATCTTCCAAGAGGGCAGGTGAATCTATGGTGTAGGAAAATAAAGGCTCAGGACAACTTTGGTAGGTAGATTGCTGGCTGGATCAGAAGCGAATGAGTGAAAAGATCATTGGACTGGAAACACTGCAATTGGGTTGTAGTCTTAACCTTAAATCATTCAGGAGCAATGTGCATGAAGCTAAGCTTTGCCTGCTATGTGTATGTAGCTGGTTCTCTTTTGTATGTCTCCTTGGGAGGATTTTGCCCTGAAAGGTGGTATAAAAGAACTATCAATTGCTCAAGTAAATATTAGATCTTCTTTCACAAAGGTCTTGTACCATTGCTTAAGTCAGTTATTTCAAAAGAGAGCTATGGTCTTATATTTTTGCCAGGACAAAAAATTTCACTCCATCTAGACATTTCTCATTTTGACAGTCTTGTAACCTCACTGTTGCTGTTGGACAGGATGGAAAGTTCTATAATCCTATAAGCTACATGGTCTGTTCATATAGTGTTTGCATGCAGTTAGATTAATGGGGCAGAGAAGAGATCAGAGGATCCTTAGGACAATATTAGGGTAGGGTTTCTTCACTATTTGGAAACTATTTTATATAACAGAAAATGATAGCAGAGGTGTCTTGGTACAAAGTACAATAGGAGCTGGAAAAATTGGGATAGGTACACATCGCCTACTGTGATTTTCCCTAACTGCATTAAAATATCTGCAAAATACTTATACAACACTTCTATTGTATATGCTCTGTATTTCATTTAGCCTGCTGCTAGTTCTCTCTTGTATTCCAGATATTCTGACATGCCATTAACCCTTGTCAGCACAGTTAATCATAAGGGATGATGGGAGATGCAGACCAACAGCATCTGAAGCATTGCTGTTGTGTGCCTTCAAATCATTTTCAATTCATGGTGACCCTAACACCTATCACGGTTTTCTTGGCAAGTTTCTTCAGAACAGGTTTGCCATTGCCATTCTCTGAGGCTGAAAGAGTGTGACTTGTCCAAGGTCACCTACTGGGTTTACATGGCCATGCTGGGATTTGAACCCTGGTCTCCAGAATCATAGTCTAGTGCTCAAACCACAACAACACCCTGGTTGGTTGGAGGACTGCCAACAAATCTCAAACCAATACACCACAATGGCTTCTATCTGAAGCATACCCTGCTATAATCTTACTGAAAATTATATTGAGATATTGGAATCTTACAGTCAAATGAACTATTGCCAATACAAGCAGCCTCCTTGCTCAAGGCCATGCCAGACCTAACATTAAGCACATGACTGGCCCTTTTTCGTTTACCAATAGCAGTCATAGGAGGTAATGTTGTAAATTGGGACAACATTGTGGAGTGATATTAGTCCTTCACCTTGGCTGTGTCCCCAATGTGGATTGTTCTCTTTTTTCCAAGTGTGGCTGCTATTTGAAGTTTCCTTTGCAGCAAATACAGTAGAATGATTGTGGACCAGATCTGTCATGTGAAGGGCAAAAGGATAATCTCGCCTCCCATGTCACAGCCCTAATCTGGATCTCCTGCAGCTGCTGTTTGGTAAACCAAAAAGCAAGCATACTAGTTGCATGCTTGATGCTATATATGCTTTGGCACTGTGAACCAAGAAGCATCTTGTTCCTTTATCTACTCCAGTTTATCTAAAACTCCCCGAATCACCTGACCACCAGAATTCTTGGAGTTCTAGTCCAAAAAAACTAAATTTCGGAGCGGGGAGGGGAGCATTCTAGGAGTTTTAGTCAGAAAGTATAACTTTTCCAAGTTCTGCTCATTAGGCTGTAAAGAGTTCCAACAAGATAATGTGTAATGACACAGTCTGTGTATTTTAGCTCCTTTTCAAAACTGCATCTACATGTTAGCTATATGTGTTACCCCTTATAACAGATTCCAAATGTCAATCCAAAAAAATTAGTACATAGAAAGAAATTTCTCATGAGAGTGGCCCATTAGAAAAAGAGTCATCCCATATACTCTCCCTGCACACCAAAAAAGGAAACTTGCTTTCTTTTTTGTATAGTTCTTTACACCCTTTCTACTAGGCAAGGCAGCCTGGTACTTTTAGAAACAATTGAATGCTTAATAGAAAAAGGTACACCCTACTGTTTGATCTCTCTGTTTGCAGAAGGAGATGAAAGAGATGAAGGAACATAATGATAGTCTGGAAAAAGAAAACCAGAAGTTGAGGAGATTTCAGGAAAGTTGCATGTTGGTCTTGGAAACAAAGAATTGTGACTCAGGTAAACTTGAAATATAGACAGTTCTCTGCATTTTCCAGCATATGGAACTTTTTATTCTTTTTCCCCCCACTGATGCTTTTCTCCACATTCTTCCCCCCAAACATCTAGGTCACATTGAGCCTTTTTTACTTGACTAAAAGTGAGTGCATTGAAGGCAAGTGGGTAGAGGCAGGTAGATGCTACTCAATATTGGGACAACTGTATGGGCACAGCTCCTAGTTGCATGGAGCATCTACACACCTTCAGCCCTGTACACTTGTCAATGCTGCATTTTCAGGTGTCCTACTCAACTATGTGGTGAATTTGTGAGCAAAGCCAAGGCATGTTGGAGTAGAGTGCAGAGGCACACATTCCATGTGCATTAGTATATATATGTGAAAGGTATAAGATTTCAATACAGATTAAAAGCAGATGTATAAAGTGTGGTAGAAGAGTATAGTTACATCTAGTCAGCACAGCAGGGAATCATGGCAGGTTGAGTCCAACAACTTCTGGAAGATCATGTTCCCCATCCCTGATATGAAACTACCTTAACATTGAGTTGACCCTTTACTAGTCCAAGGTTATCTGCAGATGGACAGCAACTCCTTAAAGCCAAGGGCAAAAAGCATCCCAACTTCTGTTCTTTTAGCTGGGGGTGTCACAGGTTGAAGCTTCTATGTACAAAGTATGCGCCACTGAGCTGTGGGTCTTCACTGTGTGATTCCCCTCTGATCCATTCAGTGCTAAATGAGAACCAATTCAGGGTTGTGGTTAAGAGTGTTGAACTTGCCATATCCAGGTTTTAATCCTCACTGACCCTTTCCCTCTTGTTGTGACCTACCAGTGAGGGAAGAGGGATCCATGTACATGGCCTTGAACCTATTTGAAGACAGGGAGGATATCTATATAACAAATAAGTCCTTAAACGAATTCTTTGGGGCTTTTAAAAATATGGGGCTGGTGTCATGCTTCTAGTAAATTCAGGGGAAATTGATCACTTATTCATTATACTGTGTTTTCCCGGCATGGGACCCAAAGTGGACAATGATTCTGTCTTTGGATTCTAATGAAACATTTGAACATCAGTTACAGGAGAAAAGATTTTGGAAGATGAAGAGGAGAACAAGAAGACACAAACTGAGATAATGGTGAGGATGAATTGGTTTCCTTTTGCCCAGGGGATAGAGAAAGCTGATCCTAGGACTGTTCCAAGACATTTTGTGACCTGATTGTGCTTCCCATTCCATGTTTAATAGGCAACTTGAACTAGCAGTTGCATATTGTTTCAACAGTAGTAATTGAATGACATCCTTCACTACTCTAGAGGTCTGCAGTTGAGCTCAGCAGGTGCAAGGCAAGCTGAATGGCACAAACCATTCTGTGTGCCATCACCTTGCTGGTTCTTTCTGCCAACAGTGTCTACTGTCCAATGCAGCTGTCTCATTCTGCCTAATGGGAAGGCTGTTCCTCCTTGATCCCCAAAGTTTCACTGTTTGTTCCTACAGAAATTTAGTTTATATAAGAAAGTTATAACTGAGTTACATTTTGAAAATTGTGTTCATGGTTTTTTCTTTCTTTCTTTCTTTTAGGACTTATCAGAGAAGCTTAATGGTGATCTTCAACTGTTTGTCGAAATGGCTAAACAGCAAAAAGAGAATTTTCAGGTAAAACTAGAACTTGTTCTTCTCTTCACATTACTGCCAAGTAAAAGCATTTTCAAAGTCTGATACCCCCTCCTCAGTCTTCAAGCATGTATCTTCATGATAGCACTACACAATTTACACTTGTCTTCTGAAGGTCTTGTTTCTTTTTCTTTTATTTTGCCTATGTTGTGGATGTAAAGCTATATATGCACATAAGCCTCAGATTTTATTTGGTAAGGAGGGAGTGGAGGGACTGATGTCTTTGGGATATAAGGTGATTCCCTTCTGAAAATGGTTGTATATCTGTTACACAATCTCTTTCACCCAGAGGGCCAAATTCATTTCTGGGTAGGTAGGTGAGATTTCAGGCATAGGTGAGACTAAAAATACCAGCATGCTTTCATTTAAGACTTTCCTTGCCAGTAATTGAACTTTGAAGAGGCATGCCAGCCATCTAGTATGGAGAAAACCCTTGCCAAAGCATAGAAACCACCAAATGATAACAGTAGGGAAGGAGACATGGCCCATCTTGGGAAGGCTGGGCTTACCATAGCTCTCTCAATTGCAAACATATTTCTTTAACAAATCAGTGTGGTGTAGTGCTTTGAGTGCTGAAGTAGGACTCTGGGAGTCCAGTGTTCAAATCCCTGTTGAGGCATAGAAAGTCATTGGGTGACCCTGGGCAAATCACACTCTTTCATCCTAAGAGGAAGGGAATAGCAAACCTCTGAATAAATCTGCATCAACATGAAGGCAAATAACAACTCTGACTTTTATTTCCAATTAGAACACACAAATTAAGTGGAAGCAAATAGAGGAGGAGGAGACCCTCTTTCTAGAGCAGCAACAACGTTTTCACAAAGAAATTGAAGATCTTTTTGCCGTCTTGAATCAGGACAACCATGTCTTGGATTCATCATAGAAAAGGCTCCAGAAACAATAACTTTCATTATTTTAATGAAAAACATGCATTTTTATCAATGTACTTTCACTACTTTATCAGTGCTCTTATTTTTGTTTTCTTAAAGACAATGTTTGACCAAACTGGAAGTGGAGCTTATTCTTATCTGTTCCAAACCAAGAGTGGATCAAGGGGCTCTTTCTGTTAAACTTCATGGTCTATTAGGAGACTTGGCTTTTTGCCACTTTACTTGATGCTATTAATAGTTTCTTGTTATATATAATTCCTTCTCATTCATAGAGCTGCGGGCTGGTAATGTTTAGTTTTCTTATTAGCAGTATTTGTTTAATTGCATTTGTGCAAACACATCCTGAAATTGACCATTTAGCAGCTTAAAAGGAACAATTGGGGGAAACATTTTAGGGTCTTTACAGACTGCCAGAGATAATGCAACTTCAGGCCACTTTAACTGTCCTGGCTCAGTGCTAGGGAATCATGGAAATTGTATTTTTTTCTGGGACATTGAGCCTTCTGTCAGAGAGCTCTGGTGCCACGATAAACTACAGTTCCCATGATTCCTTAGCACTGAGCCAGGACAGTTAAAATGGCCTCAAGCTGCATTATTTCTGGGAGTCTGTAAAAGCTCTTAGGCTGGTGGAGTAGTCAAATTTAGCTTCAGAAGCAGAACTAAGGGTCATAGAAGTTGGTACGTTCCAGTTTCCATCAACTTCAGCCAGTCTCAGCAATAGTTAGGGATGTTTGGAATTGTAATACAAAAATATCTGGAAGGTCAGATGCTCCCTGCCCATGTTCTAAAGAATCTGGGGGGGGGGTAATCATGAATAGGTATCAAAATGCAGGTGTACCTTTGGCCAATTGTTTGAAAAAGATTTTAGTAATAGCTAGATGAGGGGCAGTACAATACTTGTCACTGTTAAGTGCTATCATAAAGCTTTACTTGTTTCCTAACTGCCAGAACTACCAAAAGGGTAGATAGTACCAGATCATAGGAACATACCTTAATGTTCAGTTTCTATGATTTTGTTGTTATGGGGGCTAGGTTAATCCTAAAACTAGATTTTCTTACCTTCTAACCAGAGCTTGACTATGTTATGTTTAGGATCACAACTCCCAGAATCCCCCAGCTAGCCTAGTTACTAGATGGGAGGTTGGGAGTTTGTCTAAAAAGAACTTTTCCAAACTCTGCTTCAGTATAATTGCAACCTTCAATTTTACTTTCTCTACCTGTTTTGGGGGCTTTGTTCCTGGGGAAATTCCCGCTCTTTAAAAGACATTTACCAGCCTTGATTGTCTGTTCTTC